GCATTAGCTTTAGCTAGCTTGAGCTAAAGTTTATGCTAATCTAACCATTTTCTGGTGTGTCGTGCACACTAACACGTCGTCATTTGTATTTATTTTGGATTAATAAATATGGTTATTTAATTTGAACGGTTACATTGTTTACTTATATACTTAGCTAACTCCCTGTGTGGCCGGGTTCGGTGGTACTGACCTCTGCTGCAGATAGGCGCAAAGCAGCTTCAGTTTGTCGGTTAGCGCGGAGCCTCGGCCCGCTTCCTCCAGCATCGCCTCCGGGCCAAAGTTCACCTTCTCCAGGGTGACAGCCACCGCCTGCAGGGACAGGATTCAGATGAAGACGCTGTTTTTTATTCAGAATACAAAACAGCGGCAGTTCTGTTCTGCCTGAGGCTAAAAACAGGGGGGGGAGGGGAATCTGTGTAATCCTGAGAGGAACATGTCTTCCCTTTTCATATTTCCAAGCTGAATACTTCAAACCGATCCGTGATTAAAAACACAAATGTTACCTGAGACAAGGGTGTTCAGAAAATGGATGGATGGATGTTACCTGAGGCGTCGGTGTCGCTTGGTTCTCTGTCTCACCTGCAGCCTGGAACGGAGAGCCTCAATGTGGGACACGGCGGGGTCCTGCAGCGGCTCCTGGAGCACACACAGCAGCAGACTGTCCGTCAGGGCCCGGATCAGAGGAACCGAGACCTGCGGGGTGCAAACTGGGGGCGGCCCGGAGAGCGGGCTGCAGTTTAAAGGAAATGAAAATACAAAATAATTATTATTTTACACAACTGGTGGTAAATGAAGCTAGAAATGAATCTAAAATATTAAAACTTCACCATGAATTTAGATGTTTGCTGATTTCAGGCTCAACCAGCTGCTGTTTCTTCTGTGGAGGTTCCTGCTGAAAACATATCAGCTTCGTAAGGGTGCTTCAAAGTCTTAAAACATTTATGTTTTCAAGGTTTGGAAAGTGCTTCATTTCTGTATAAAGTCCTTGAAAGTGCAGAGTTTTATAATAAAGTTGATTAAAAGCATAAATTAGGAAAACGTTTACAGTTACACATATTTTTTGTTTGCTGTCTGAAGTTAAATCAGAGTAGAAATTATTTATATTTACTAAATGCTACAAAACTTAACGGAACATCTTTGTAGAGTTTTGTTTGTTAAATTTTGCAGAAGCCTTCAAAAGTTTTTGACTTTAGAAAAATGTCTTAGTTTGAAAAATTGAATAATCAAGCTCTGAAATTTCCAAAATTTTCTAGAAAATTTCTGAAATTAACTTTAAAATGTTTAAGTTTCTAGCAATTTTTTTTAGCTTTTCAAGCTCAGAGAATTTTCTTGTTTTGTTGAGATATTGTCTGAGACTAATCTAAAAAATGTTGGCGTAAATTTACTCCTCTTTTTTATCAACAACGCCCCTAAATACATCATATAAATTATACCTTAAAATAGTGAATTGAAAATGTCTTCTTAAGTTAATTTTTAACTCCAAGGTGTGATGGAAAAGTTAGAAAACTTTCCATTAGAGTTCTTGAAATTGCTTGAATTTCAACGTGTAAAAAGTGTAAAAACATTTACAGAATGAGCAAATTAAATGTTTAAAACCAGTAAATATGACTGTGTTTATGCAGCTTTGCTCACCCGGTTCGGTTCTGGCTGCAGGCAGCCTTTCAGGGCGTAAATAGCTCCAGCCAGAACTGCCCACAGTAAACACAGTAAGAGCAGCCTGCAGCACGCGTCCTGCTGCGGCAGAGCGGGGCCCGGCAGCGCCTCCAGCTGGCAGGCAAACCACACTGCAGCCACCGGGGCGAAGCAGCAGACAGTTTTCAGAGTCCGGGACCAAAACCTTCCTCCGGGCTGAGCTTCACTTAGGATCTCTATTAAACTGGAAAGGAGAAATACAGGAAGGAGAGTTCAAATTAACTGGATAAATGCAAATAAAACTAAATAGAAGTTGTTAGAAAAAAGGAAGATATTTGCCTTGAAACTTTAACAAAGCAGAAGAAACGTACGAACGCCCTTAAACTTAAGTACATCTTTTTATTATTATTTTTTGTAAAAGAGACACACAGTTTAATTTTTTTATCCGTTATTGGTAGTGGTTTTAGTGTGAACAATATTGCTCTGCATCTTGGGTGCAACAGTGTTAGAAGCGCCAAACATAAAATAATAATAATTTTTAAAAAAATCAAGCACTATTCAAGGATTTTAAAGGAAGGTTTTCAAACTTTGGAGATAAAAACATTTCAAACATCTCTCAAATTTTCTAGAAAAACAGAAATTTCCTAGATTTTTTTTTCTAGAAAATTTCTCAAGAATTCTCAAAAGAATTCAAAAATTTTTTAGATCAATCAAAATTTTTGAGTTTCAGCATTTTTTATTTTATTTTATCTTTTGTACACTTTGATATAAATTCCACTTAGTGGCAAAATGCAGAGAAAGTCACATGAAGCACAAGCCTTGTCCTGGTAGAAAAGTCTGGAGTTTTCACTAAAAACATGGATGCTTTCATCACTGATGTTTATAAAATGATTAAATCCATCAGGAATTATATGAAAACTGAGAACTTAAGTCAGGATATTTCCTTGAGCATGTGATGAACTGGCAGTGCCAGATCGTCCAGGCCAGATTATGGCCTTTCATTCAGAAAACACTGATTTGGTGTTTTCTGTAGTTTGTTACTGGGAGTGGTTCCAGCTATTCTGGTGAACTGGGATGACTTTTACTCTCCCCAGTTTGTATATATGATGTACGAACCTGGAGCAAGTTGAATTTTAATTTCTCGGGTTTAACTCGGAGGAAGTGGGCCATACGATGAACTTGAAATCAAATCCGAACGGTTTCTTAAAATGAGTGACAAGCTGTCAAACGCTAAACAAACGAGGATCCACCTGTTAAGAGCTGCTGGATGTTGACAGATTTCTGAAACATTCCCAGTCACAGTGAAACATTTCTGGTTGTTTGAACGCAGCTCACCTGTTGAGAGTCGTCCATTGTTGCTGGTTGTCTGTTGCTGCTCCCTCGCCATCCTCGCTCTGCTCCCTCATCGGTTTACTGGTCCACTCCCAGCCTCCCGTCCCCTCCAGTCCAGCTGCCCTCTGACCTTTGGGGTGAGATGGTGGTTGAATCTGCGGCCAAGCCATCTGCTGTTTTAATGTCCACCGGTTTAAAACATGATTCGACAGAGCGAGCCAGTCGAACAGGCCCGACTGGAGGGTTTGTTTTGGTGTTTTACTCCCTTCACTGCATTCCAGCCAGACAGGAATGTGTTAAAAGGACCGGAGTGGAGAGCGAGCCCAACTCCACCCAGAAACAGTTTCTGACTCACAAACTACTCAACCAACTGTAGTCTGAGCCCCGGAGATCTAAGGGTGTTTCACGCTGGTTGTTTTTAGGCACTAATCTATGGAGTGCCATTAGGGACAGTAATCAGAATTGAAAAACTTTCATATAAAGTACTGAGAATTCTTAAAAAAAATTCTAGAAAGCTCTAACTACATCATAGAGAGGCTACATTTATTGATGTGATTTTAAACTGAAGGAGGATTTTTTTAGAATCTTAACCTGTTGTTCACAGGTTGTCATTCACAATGACAGGGGTGTCAAACTCCAGTCCTCAAGGGCCGCTGTCCTGCAGTGTTTAGATGTGCCACAGGTAAAAAACAGTGGAATGAAATGGCTTAATTACCTCCTCCCTGTGTAGATCGGTTCTCCTGAGCCTTGCTAATGACCTAATTATTCTTTACAGGTGTGGTGCAGTAGAGGCACATCTAAAAGTTGCAGGACAGAGGCCCTTGAGGACTGAAGTTTGACACCTCTGTCACGAGAGGACCCAAATTTGGGTCCTCGTGAATAACAGGTTAATGCCTTAATATCTCTTTGCTGTGACAATTTTCATACTTAAATGTAGCTTTAAACATAAAACAACATGTTTATGCGTTTTATGTTTCTTGTGAGCTTAGATAAGTTGCCTAGAGCAGTGTTTCCCAGGGTTGAAAAACACTGGCCTAGAGTGTTTAAAATATAAATAATATACTCTTTCTCATTTAACTCCAGCTATAGGCTAATGCAGCATTGCATTGCAGGAATCCAAACTGTATTTTCAGCCTTAAATTTAACATAAGTCCTGATTTCTAGCACCAAGAAAGTAGTACAGCAACGTTGCCTCCAGGCTCTGGTTTTTGTAGTTCCTCCATAAGTTAATGGGTTTACCTGCCATCAATCACAAAACATACACATCTTATATTATTTAAATAAATTTTGACCAAAAATTGTAGACTTTAATATTCTATCATCAACTTGAGGAGGAAAATCTTGTAATTTGTACCCATGTCCTGAACTACAGTTGTGTGAAGGTCTGAAAACTGCAGCTTGTCTCGTTTCCCCACTGATGGATGCAGTTTTCACTAACGAACAGCAGGTGGCAGCAGACCTGTTTCTGACGTCATCACACCAAGAAACACGGAGAAATTTAATTTTAAATTAAAGAAAAAGTAATTAAGTATTGTATGTTATATTTATTAAATACTATCATGCTGATGTTTGTTTAAATCGTGATCCATCTGGTTGGTTTTTGGAGCTTTAGTGGAAGCTGGAAAGAGTAGAAACGTGTCAGCAATTTGTTAGCTTTAGCAAAGCTATTACAGCGTTGCATTATGGGTAACCAAACGTTATTTTAAACATTAAATCTAACATTTTCCCTCGTTTCTATAACCCAGTTATCCCATTATGTTTTAGCTAGAGTCGCAGGGAAGCCTTCCGGATCTTTTTTTTTTTTTAAATGTATCAGCACCGTGAGTCATGTGGGTATGTCTGCGAAAGACATGCCGGCGAGCGAGAAGAGCAACTCATACTTACCTGGCAGGGGAGATACCATGATCATGAAGGTGGTTCACCCAGGGTGAGGCTCAGCCATTGCACTCCGGTTGTGCTGACCCCTGCGAATTCCCCAAATGTGGGAATCTCGACTGCATAATTTCTGGTAGTGGGGGACTGCGTTCGCGCTCTCCCCTGATATACTGTAAATGGAAAGTATGATAGTTCTGTATTACGGAGTAACCGTGGAATTATTCGGAAGTTCCGTTGAAATTTGCGTAGTCTGGATACGTCTTAAGTTATCAGATTCCTTCTACATTTCATTATAATTTGAATGGTTTTTATTTACAATCATTCTTGTATTGATCAATTTTCTTCTGTAATATTTTCTTGTCCTTTTAAACTGAATCTATGAAGAATATCTGACGAATTTTTAATTTCATTGATATTCACTGATGTATTTCAATACATAGTATGGAGTCATGCTGCCATCTAGCGTTTAAAATTAGAATTACACTGCGAATGAGATTCCCATTCACAAAATGCCGTTTTTATTAAAGCAGAAATAGATGATTTAAGCTCTTTTTAGGTGCTGCAGCCATGTCTAAATAACTGAAACTGAAAAATGTGTTTTAATGTAATAATAAAAATAATAGCTTTTTTGTTTAAGTCATTAAAATAAATGCAGGAGGAATTACACATTACTATTAGGAGGAGGGAGGACAAAACGGCAAAATGTGATTACAAAATTGGAGAGTATTATTTATTTTCCAGGCACATAGAACCATTTTAACTCACTCACTGTTACCTTCAGTTGTTATAAAAATGCCATAAATATTAAACATATCTCACTAAGAAATTTGACTAGAAATTGGGTCTCTGTCTCTTTAAGAAGCTCCTACTCTTCGTAAAGAGACTCCGCCTTCAGGAAGTCGTCACAACAGTGCTTAATTATACAAAAAATTCCCTGCCTGGAAAATACATAATAAAGCCCCTTTAATCAACATTAAGCAATTAAATGTACATTTTCATGACCTTCAACCTAAATCAGCCACAGACTAAAAGATTAAAACGGAACGATTTTGAAGAGTAACGCATGAGCCGTGTTTGTTTTTCCAACATTTTATTATAAAAAACTGATGACAAAGACAACAGATTCCGATAGTAAAATATCTCAGACGATCCAGCTGGTAAACAAAAACCGTCAGGAGAGGAAACTGATGGGAGAAAATTCACAAAAATCAACAACACTGTGCGGTAACATCCAACAGACGACACGTCCCTGCATGATTGTAACATCTCTAACCGGGTTTTCACGTCATTCACGAATAAAATCCTAATATTTATGTAACATAAACCTGGATTAAAACAGAGGTTCACTTCATTTATTTTTATTTTTAAAAAAATCCAGAAAGTACAACTCAGTATAATTTTCCAGTGCATGATGTCGGAAGTAGTGTGTTTTCCCCCGTCGTCGTCATCGTCACCTGTGTTTTCAGTCCTAAATGGAAACTTTGTTTTAATTTCCTGATAAAGTTCTGGCAGCAGCTCATTAACATTCAGACACATAAAACTGTGCTGGGAGCGTTTCGCTTCCTTTAAACAGATCCACGCCGCGACTCTTCAGTTAGACCAGCGGAAACGCCCAGAGGTCACGGCTTGGTGATGTGGACTTCGCCGGTGCCGCTGCCGTTGGTCGTGGTGGTGATGATGTACTGCGTGGCGGCCTGCTGGGTGGCAGGCGGGGGATCCAGCTGGTCGGTCTGGGTCTGGGTCGCGCTCTGAGGAGCCGCCTGCTTCGTCTCCAGGTCAGCCTGACCATCAGAGATGACGAAGTGCGCCTGAGAGACAAATAAAAAAAAAAATTCAGCTCCATAAATTAAGTTTTATTATAAATTACAAATAAAGCTGCCACTGTGGAAAGTCGCATGCGGTCGTCAAGGAAACGATAGTTTATTCAGTTTGTCGTAGGATGTGTGTGTTCTGGTAGATTCGGTTTGACTGGGGACTCACCGTCTTCACCTGGCTGCTGTTGACCCCAGACGCGGGCGTGCCGGGCTCCGCGATCACGTACTGTGCATGAGGTAGCGCCATCATCTGGATCTCCGACGCTGGAACAGTTTGGGGTTGACTTTTTATTCTCATGGATCCAAAGAGAAGGAGAGGAAGAGCTGTGCATTTAGAGTCACTCACAGTAGCCTCTGTAGTTCCAGTTTCCAGGGATGTAGGCGTGCTGCACCGCCCCCTGCTGCTGGGAGGTGGTGGTCTGCAGGGCGTGACCTTGAGCCAGAGTGACGGGGGTTAGCGGGGCGGGGCTCAGCTCCTGATTGGGCTGCTGGGAGGCGGGGCTTAGAGGCTGACTGTTTCCCTGGAGGGACGCTCAACGTAAACCAATGGAGACGTATAATCGTGCTGCAGGATGAGGTCTAGTTATTTACCTGCGTGGCGGCTTGAGCGGCGCCGGAGGACTCCGACACCTGGATGTGTTGCACCTGGATGGAGTGCTGGCTGTAGCCGTGGGGGTCGTGCAGCTGGCTCACATCGACTGTCTGGGCCTGGGAGTGAGGCGAGGAGGCCTGCAGACGCAGAGAAGCACAACTCCTTCATCAATCTCATCAAATCTACCACACTTTTGGGATTCAAAGGTGGCATATTACGCTTCCTTAGACAGCTTAAGACGGGTACAAAACGTTCATTACGTTTTTTAGCATGAAATTATTCTTAGTTAATGAGATTCTAGTTTGCTCTGTTCTGCCTATTTGAACTCCTCTGACCAAAGAACGTGTCTTTTCCAGCAGAAAGACACGTGCTGGAGTTCAGTTTGGGTTGCTAGGTAACGGCCTGAATTCCGCAGGGGTTGCTAGGTAACGGGCAGTGCCTGCTCATTTGTGACGCTACATTCTGGAGGTTTTTGAAACGGCTCATTTTTCAGACACCAAAAAACATTAACTTATTGCCATAAACAGCCAGGTGTTTGTCTTTTTCTGTTTGGGTTAATAAGGTTTTTCCATGAATGTTAATATTTCGTTGTGAAATATCAGACGTTTTATATCTTTTTCTTTAGTATAGAAAGGCACAACAAACCTATGATATAAACTTTCCGTAAGTAGGAAAGAAATAAAAATACATCCAAACTATTTGGACTATTTCTGAGTTATTATCGCGGGTAATCAGTCATCTGTCTCTGTTGTGTTCGTCTGAACACAACAGACGAACACAACAGATGGAGTGCCGCTCCATCTGAGCCTTAACAGACATAAACATGCAGTAAATTAATCGATTTTCAATCAGTTTTCTGCACCAAAGCATTAATAATAATAAACACGTTTTATTATTAGTATCTGGTATAATAAAAAATGTATTTCTGTTTTTATTCATGGCCTGGCTGGTTGTCTTCTTACCGGCGCGACCTGGACGACCTGCAGCTGGATGTGCTGCGGCTGTGCCAGGCCGCCGCCCGCCTGGGACACTGGGATGTACTGGATCCGCTGGTAGTCTCCCTGGGAGGTCCGGTAGTCTGTGGTCAGCGTCTGGGAGAGCTCCGTCATGGCCTGGGTCAGCAGGTCGGTGG